TTTCGTCGTCCCATTTTGCAGCGGCTGTGTCGGCGAATATATGTATATATATATATATTTTTTTTTTCATATTATACGCAGGACAATGGCCGACGGGGGTGAAAGAGAATCACTACGCATATACGTCTTCTTCGTGTATTTTTTTTAATTTGAATCGAGCTTTCCTTTCGTTTCCTCGAAAGTGTAACTTAATTGGACTTGGATTTTTATCGTATATATCGTATATAAGCTTCAGAGTTGAAGCTATATGTATGCGAATGTGTCACTCTTAGAAATCGGATTTTGTTTTTTTTAATAAGAATTTTGTTCAACTTGCTTTTGTTGTTTACTCGAGGCGTGAGCTTTATGCTGTCGCTTGTTATAAATTAATTTCACAAACGAATGAATTTAATTTTATTGGTATTTATTGGTATTTTTGAATAAACGAATTGAATAACGATTGGTTATGATGATTTTATGCAATACTTAAATACGATAATGTTGAAAATTGTGGTACAAGAGAGAGAAAGATTCGTACAAAAATAAATTGAGAATGTAGAATGAACAGTTTTCATTTGAAGGTTTATTTTAGAAAATTCATTTGCTTGTTCGAATCTAATTTCGTCGAAAATAAAACTTGAAAGAAAAATATTGTATTCCGCATTTTTTGACTTTATTTTGTACGAGGAGCCATTAATTTTCGACTTGTAACGCGATACTCTCTGCTCGTTATTCTGTACTCTTTATTTTTTATTCCAATATCGCGAAAAGATTTATTGAAAGAAATATATAATTTTTCTTTTAAAAAGATAAGGAACGATAATACCTATTGCAAAAAATCTCTTCGCGAAACTTGGGAACAATTAAAAGAGTAAAATTCAAACTAAGATAGCTCCCCTACCATTTGACAAAAGCTGAAAAACAAAAAATTCGTGTACGCTGTAACCATCCTCTTCGCAGACCGGCCGATTAAAAGTTTAATTACTTGAGTAACCTTTTAAGCAGTGGACTTATTTCCTTGGGGATTCGTTACAGGAACTAGATTCAACTTACTTTCTACGAAAGTATATTTTCAATCAGAACATCTTCCATCTTTGTTTAAAATAAAATTTTCAATCTAGCTAATCTTTTGTTAATATAAGAAAAAAATTTATATTAATATTCATTTTTTTTCCCTATTGAATTTGTTATTTCGTAGAAGGAAATATTTTAAACGGTGATACTTGTGAAATAAAATTTAAAAAAAGAACATTATATTTTCACGTTTGTTCATATCAATTAATATTTTTAAGAAAAATATTTTGCATATAAATTTTGTAGAAAATTATTATGAGTTTAATATCTTCTAGTATTCTAACCTTTTCGTTTAATATATTTGTCTATGCTTAAAATAATTATTTTCGATATAAATAATCTTTTCTTTAAAATCTATAAAATATTTTATAGATTTAAATATAAAATATTATAAAAATATATAAAATATAATATATGAATATAAAATATTTTAAAAATTATAATTATTCACTTATATTTCCACGCATAATCTTTTCGAGTCTAATAAATTCAAAAGTGAATCGAATAAAAGCTGAAAAATACGACTCATATATGATTATCTATCATTTTATTTCAAAATGAAAATTAGAATTTTTTGCAGCAAATGTCTTGCCATGAATTATAATCCCTGCGCTTTTCTGAAATGGTACTACATCTTGTTATACATATCCTGACAAAGGGCAAAAAACGTCCCCTCTCCAAAGTTTCACGGTTACGTAACAATTGGTGCTTTTTTATTCCCTCAGTTTTAAATATCCGGCTCTCGTCGGTACACTGTGTCAAGTAAGGGAAGCTACGGAGTGTTTATCTTTCTTCTTCTATACAGTCAGCAAAGTGTTAAGAGGAAATATATCCAAGCAGATGCGCGCACGTGATTTCCCTCGAAATGTTTCATTCGTGTTGATGGTTTCGAAGCAGCAAAAATATACACAAATTGTGCAATAAACGTATGGGGAATGCCATGAAATTGTGGAAATAACAAGAGAGAGAGGCACGAATTCACGAATCTGGAGTAGTTTGGAAAAAATAAAATGTGCCATATGTTCTTTTTTTTTTTTTTTCTTTTTTAACGATTCCATCCTATCGATTGAACGATGAAATTCTATGGAAAAACACGTGTACGAAAAACCGGTCGGATATTTGTGTATCGATAATACATTCAATGAACAAACGTGGTTCCCTATTGTTTCTCCCTCACAATGGTTAGAATGATTAGAAATAAAATGGAAAATGCGGTGAGCGAGTTTTATTGGATAAAAGTATATTTCACGAATGTGTCGTTATTTATTAATATTTCAGAATTAAACGAAAGATAAATACTGATTATCGTACTGGATTAATTTGTAAGTTTAAATAGATTTTCAAATTTTTTTTTTTACATACAATGCCCTGCATATTATTATCTGAACATTGTAACGATACGAATTTATTAGATATTGCATAATAATATATTTACTTATTGTTTGAATGCAAATGTTATATCCCTAAATATGTTAATTACTTTAGCATTAAAGGATATGTAATAAAGATAAAAAATATTGAATAGAGAAAATTTGAATATATTGCATTATTTCTCTTTTATTTTTTCTTTTTTTTTTTTTTTGAAGGAGAAAAACTAATAGGGGGGTTGTTTTCCTTATAAACTTCTTAATTTCTTTCGAATTTCATTTCTTATGTTATCATGAACAAACACAAGCAACATTTTTTAATATCCAAGATAAATAGCAACCAAATTTCAATTCCTCCGAATATCGTCCTTTCATTGCTCGGTACATTAATCTCGTTTCTTATTTCGTTCTCGTAACACACGGCGACAAATTATAATTTCCATTAAAACATGACGGATATTAAATGAATATAAATGGATGAATACATAATGGGGTACAGTGATGCATCTTATAGTAGCCTAAAATACGAGGATGGAAAATACGAGAAGAAAAAAGGTTACGAAGGATAGAAAGAGAAAAATTAGGCAGCCGCTAAAGTGCGTGACGGTGCGTCGTGGTTTCTGGCGGGACGATCTTCTTCCACGGCTTTTTACATATCTTCCTCTTTTTGCTCGCTCGATACTCTTCACGATGGATCGTGCTTTTGCTCGTAGACGTTTATATAAGTTACACGTTTTTGAGGGTGCACGTAGCGTCGTAGTTTCGAGGTTGGTGGACCATCGGCAGGCAGGGATGTTCCGCGTGGATATAACGTACGGCTACCTTATTTTTGATGAATGCATTTTAATTTCGAAATTGCGTATAAAAAGATATTCGCGATAATTTTATTTCTGGATTACTACGTGTACCGTTTTATTACAAAATTAATTTGAAAAATGTATCATATGTTAATGAAGATAATCCTCCTGATCAATCTATCATCTATGTATATATCACAATGAACATTGTACGAACAAATTATTTAATTATTAGATTAAAAAGATTTCTATCAGTCAATTAACTCCACGAAATAATAGACAATCTGTTTCGTTATCATCGATTCGTCTTAAATTATTGTAAATCGATGTATCCATCTTTGGGGGAAAATAAATGAATACGACACGTGATAAGAAGAAACAAGTAACGTGCGATAATTCGCGCACGCGTTTGCTTCCTGAAACTAATTCCAGAGGATCCTTCGTAAAAGAAAAAAAGGAAAAAAAAAAAAAAGAAGGGAAAGATGTGTTTTCTCCCTTTCTACCTATGTGGTCGTCCTATTAAAGTGCGATCTTCTGAATCCCGGGTTCGTAGACAGGGATCCAAGTTGAACCACCATGAATGAGGATGGAGGGCAGTTTTATACGTTCGAGGCGGAACGACGATACGGATAAACGACGCAGCGGTAACGAATGATGTCTTCGTAATATTTCAAGCGGGGGTCTTGCTGCCTTTTGCCCGGTTCCTGCACCCTCTTCCTCCCCATTCCCTTCGAGGCACTTCCGGGGTCAAGATTCACGAGACACGAAAAAGGAAGAGGCGGAAAAGGAAAGAAAGAAAGGCGACAAAGGGTGAGGCGAAAGAACGGGCCGGGAAAAGATAAATTGGGATCGCGGATGCGACCTCGTAAAAGTTGCGCTTGCTCGCCTTTTTTGCGATATTCCTAATGAATGCGTGCGTATTTAACCGGGAAATTGTTTGCTGAAAACTCAAGGTTTGCTTTCCTTTGAACAAGAAGCGCGAAATATAACAGTTTATTAGATCCTTTGATGTGATAATTGCGAGAGATAGATCTCCTAGGCGTTGGATATCTCATTTTGATAATTATTCTTGTTTCGATGTTTTGGAAATATGTTTCAAAGAGGGAGAAAGCGAGACAATTGTTATTTATGGAAATTATATTATTGATTAGAGATTTTAAATTGTGAATATGGACGAAGAAAATGTTGAAAATATGTTTCATAAAAATATAAATATAAATTATTACAAAAATATTATTTCGTATAATTTTATATATTTAATTTTTATTTGCAAACGTATAATACTTTCGTAACTGCGTGATGAGTTATTGAAAATGGTAAAAAATATTGAATAAATACATATATATTTTGTTTTCTTCGAATGATCTTCCTTTGTGAAAAATGAAATTGCGTATGAAGAAATAATTGAAAACAAAGTTTCTATTGAATAATTAAATGTAGCAAAAAATGTAGAAAAGCCAAGTAAAACTTTTCGTAATTAATAAAAATACATTTATCATAACATTTTTTTTACAACGAAACTTGCAGTATTCAGATTTGTTTGCACACAATGTGATGTTACAAAGCATAATTAATTAAAAAACAAGATCAAATTGTACATTGTTGAAAAATTGAAGAATTAGTTGGAGAGATTTCAAACGAGGCACTAAAAATAGTCAAAAAATCCCGGGTGTTATTATTTCATTTGCCTGTAAATTTCACGATCCGTAAATCGTATATAATCGACGAACAGCTATCTATTATATAATACACATAGCCGTTGCTCATCGAGCATTTAAATTTTCTAGGTATTCGATGTCCAGATCCTCCTCTCGAACTTTCACGGAAACTCCGGAATCGCGTTGTCGATGTTCAAACAAGAGATCAGCATATGTTGTTACACAGTTCGACACCCTGGCGCCTGCGGACAGGTCGTGCGATGGGGAGACGAACAAGAGTGTAATGCACGTCAGGGAGATATCCACTGCATGGATATATACCGTGTCTGTGGTTTATCGCGTGTCTGTTCCATGAGGAGGCGCGCAGACATTGGAAAATATATAAGATCGAGACAAGAGGGAGAGGCTGTGGCTCGACAATGGCCTTAATGCGACTGAATGATGATACGTAACAAACCTTATTCAACAAAAAGTTTCGGCCGGCAAATTGAATCCAGAGGGCTTGGACTCTCTTCTTCCTTCTCGTTCCTTCGAGTCTCGTCTCACCCCGAAAGGAGGTGTGGAATAAGATCACGGCGCGATCGTGTGCGTGCTGCGAGGGCGAGTGGCAATGAGTGCAAGTGAGAAGCAACGAGAAGAGAGAGAGAGAGGCACATTCTTTCGGATGGTTCGGGCGAAGCAGAGTGGTGGGGATGGAAGGGCGGTCTGCGCACGCGCGGCTCGCGACGGAACAGCTTCGCGCGGCGACGCTCAGTCTCGTCTGTCGCAATCCAGTGCAGATATACGTGCAATTACCCTGTCAACAGTGCTTAAAATCTCTTCTAGTGCTTGTGCCGTTGCTCTACACTTGGTGATCGATAACGTTCGTCGACCGATACGGCATCGATCGTCTTAATAGTTCGCGCGTTACGGTTCGAAGAAGTGAAGATCGCGTGTCGCGGCCACGTGAAGGAAAATTAAACGAGTCCTCTGTCTCGCGGTTCGCGATTTGAATCGCCGCTGTCGCCACCACCGCATCGTCTAACGGTTTCGCGGATCAGTCGGTATCCACGCTGCGCACAGTGAGTTTGACGTTTCGTTACGGGGACAACGTGTGGTGACGTTTGGTTCGGAAAAAAGTGGCGTTCATCGTCCTTCGTGTACCATGACTATTTCGTGAGACCGGTGAAAGTCAGTTATCATCGATGCATTGTCAAAGATTTCAATGCCTTCCATGTAAATAGCGCGAAAAGTATCGCGTGTGGTGTGCTATTGTGTGAACGAAAGACCAGTGATCGAAAGGAAGAACGACGTTATCCACGGATTCGAGATGATTCGCCACCTGTGGCTAAGAGCGGTTTTCGCTTTCTTCGTAATATCAGGTAAGCTGTTTAATAATCGCATTTCCACGATCGCGTAACTGCGATTGTTCGTACACGGGTCGAAATATGGAGTAACGGAATACGCGAATAATGACGCTTGATGCGAATGTACGCGTGGGACGCGAGTAATCGCTTGTAATGTGACAAAACGATAAGATTACCATTCCCCTTCCGTATACCGGAACATCATCGTCGTGTGTCGTAACCAACTTTTTAGTTACCACATTGTCCGGCATTTCGCCAAGCGGGACGTGTCATTTCTTACGGTGCGCTCGGTTAGCTGGTGGTTTAAAAGAAACGACAAAGTGACAACGAGCGCGAGAATAAACTAGGGGAAAAGTATGTCCCGTGATAACTGTTGGCATTATTTGCCAGTGCCATTGCGGAAATCCTTTTTTCATCGTTACGCCGGAAGCGTGAGATAGAGACACAAAGGAATTGTACACCGGGTTGCAAAGCTCGATTGAGCAAAGAAATATTTTTTCCTTCTGAGCGTGCAAAGGAGTTATAAGGAACAATGTTGAAAGGCAGTGGATTTTTTGTAGCTTTCATTATTGTCCCAACTGATTCAACTGAAATTATCCTTTAAAGTAGAATACGTTGAATACGCTTTTTACAAATTTCCATCAGAAAGCTATAGATTTTGAGTCGAAATTTCGAGGGGAGCATTATATATTCGTAACATAGGATTTTATGAGAATTTATTCGTGTCGCAGAATAGAAGAACCCTCGAGCGACATTATTCCCGTGAGAATTACAGAAATAAGAGATCAGAAGATATCGAGTCACTGGTTCTACGAACTTTCTCGTGATAATATGCAAGTACAGTCTGCCATGTCCGCGATTGTTTTTCACCTTTTATTTCAGACAATACATTGTCAAGAGTAACATAATCGCATATATAATACTTTGAAATTACCATTAAATCCGCGACGTGAAATTGCTTGATGATTTCATACTAGTAAGTGCAACGACCGAGTAATGACTTCGAAATTGACAAAGGAAATTCTGGTGTATCCACCGGTACAATCAGACTTCTTTGGAAATGCAAATCGATTTCATTTCTCTTTGGGACGATTTCTACGCGTAACTGTGCCCTTTGTCGTGGTTCGATATTGTGCTGGCTGCTCTCTCTTTTCGTCTCTCTCTCTCTCTTTCCTTTATCCTCTCTCTTTCTCAAAAGTAAAATATCTAGTAGTAGACAAATTCTAACGAGTTTCCTCCTCTCTTCTCTCTCTCTCTCTCTCTCTCTCTCTCTCTCTCTCTCTCTCTCTCTCTCTCT